CTAACAATAACAAACAAATTGGCAATTATCAATAAAGTCAAAAAAAATTTGTTCTATGTTTCGATAATTCTATGCAATAACGACATAGTTTAGCGGTGTTCATGCATTCGTTTTTCTCCAAAATCACGAAATGATAGGTGCAATCCCGTATTCCTCGGACTCGTACTAGTAAAACTGTCAAAAAATAAAAATTCGCTCAGGGCGAGAGAGTAACATTGAAAAGTACGGGATCGCTTTCTAGTAAAAAATGGTTACTTCTGTCAACTTCAACAAACATCCAAATTTTGGTTGTAAATTTTTGCTTATTTTGTATGTAAACACACTCAGCTCACACATGCAAATAACCAAAAATGCTTTCCAATTCATTAGAATCCGCTTAAACAAGTAATTAAATACTTTTCAACATGAATTAGCAGAGTGCACTTTTCTTTTGTTTACAATTTGGTTGCCAAACGCACTACAGCTGATCGTTTGACACATTTACCAGCAAAAAATTCTCGGACTAAAACTGGTAACTTCTGACAGAGAGAGAACCGTATTTACTCTCTTTTTTGTCCTCTCAATAGTCAGAGAACCGAGTACGGGATCGATTTCCAGTAAAATCTGACTGATTCTGACTATTTCTGACTAGTCCGGACTGGGATCGCAACTTGATGTTTGGCTTTCATATGGCGATTCAACAAGGCGCATCATACTTTTCGTGTAAAATCCTGTAAAAATGTCAAACAGCAAAATTACTCTCTGAAGTGAGAGTAAAAAGTGAGTAACAACAAAAAGTACGGGAACAAAAAAAGCATTTCTCCTGTAAAAACGTCAACCAGTGACACTTTTCATGATTTTACCAGAAGAAAAAGTTCGGGTAAAATCTTGCAACTTCATTCTCTACACAACTCTCCAAAAATCGCTCTCATTTACAGGATTTTGGAGGAATTTGGAGTACGGGAACATTTTTCCTGTAAGTTCGTGTAAAAACCTGTAAGTTCATGGAGTACTGGATCATTTTTATTATTTATTTTTCTTTATGCCTTTTCAATGAACACAAGATGCCATATGTGTTAAAATTACATTTTTATTGGTGTTGCCACAGAAATTTTAGTTCGCTTTAATGAACTAGTTCAATCAAAAGGATCAAAAGAGCCGGCTCTTTCGCACTTTAGTTCAAAAGCTCAAAAGCAAATATTTCTATGGTCATAAGCAATAATCGCCTAAGTCAGAAAACCTGAATTCGAGAAAAAACGTTAATCATTTGGATTGTAATGTTAGCCTTATGGGGAAACCAAAATATTTTCGCCTTTAACTTTTTAAGTAGCCCATCTGGCGAGATGAGGATTTCACATACGCATGGAATAGTGGTTGAAGAATACGATAGCATGTATAACTCCATTCTTTCTTAAGTCGACTTAGGCGGTTATTGCTTGTGACCACAGAATTAATATTGTTGTGTATAGACTATAGTACAATAATTTAAAAATTTATTTTTTACTTTGTTTTTGCTTATCCATTCGCCCTAAAATATACTAGCCAGAACCATTTTGAAATATGAGTGTTTTTACGCTCTAGAAAATAATTTCTACAACTTCACATACGCGGTTTTGCATTTTGCTGATACGCGGTTTTGCATTTTGTTGATACGCGGTTTTGCACTTTAAACGACGATATGTATATTTTCTGGCACGGTCAAAATGTGTTGGAACAAAATAAAGTAAACGTTGGAATATATTATATCTTATATTATTAAGATTTCGTTTCCATTTTACTTTGAAACCTCGCGTATAGGTTCATCTGACTTTTCGAAAGCGAAGATTTTGAATTTTCCAAAGCAGTAGCAAAATCATTAGCCGTGATTTTACAATCATCATTGGTCTCTTCAATCCGTTGAAAGGCTAACAATGCAGCTTCATTGCACAAATTGCACATATCAGCACCTGTGTATTGTTCTGTGCCTTCAGCTATTTGAGCCAAATTTACATCTCCAGCAAAAGGCATACGTTTAGCGTGTAGCTCAAGAATAGAAATACGCGATTGCATATCGGGTGGTGGCACAAATATATGTTTACTTAAACGTCCTGGACGCAGTAGAGCATCATCGATCATGTCTGGCCGATTACTAGCTGCAACAACAAGTATTTCTTGATTACTTTCATCCGATCCATCAATAATGCCATCCATTTCTGTCAGTAAGGTGGACAGTACACGAACTTGTATATCACTTGAATTGTTTGAGCTGATGGGCCGGCGACCTGCTAGAGCGTCTGAAAGAAAAATAATAATTTTAATTATCTAAAAATTAGTTGACTGTGTAATTTTTGCAAACCCATTTCGTCAAAGAACAGCAGACAAGGTGCATTTTTTCGCGCTGTATCAAATAATCTTGATATAAATTTTTCTGCGAAACCGACGTAGGGTGAGTAAACCTCAGCGCCAGATATGGAGATAAATGTCATATCGGATTCTTTGGATAGGCATTTCGCGAATGTTGTTTTAGCGCAGCCGGGAGGACCGTATAGAAGCAAACCTGGCAAATGATAAATTCAAATTTCAAGGATTAAAAATGAACTAATCGAATTTTTGTTAAATAGGTATAACTATTTACCTTTCGGCAATTTTAATCCAAAATTTCGAAATTTTTCCCGTCTTCGTAGTCCAGCTAGAACGCTTACTTCCAGGGTACGCTTTAAGTTATCCATTCCGCCAATAAATTCAAAACCGTGTTCAATTTTTTGCACAGCAAAGTCGGCAGCATGTACCGCAGCAGGCTTTATCTACAAATTAAAATGAAATTGAGATCTTCCCTAGTGGCATCCAACTAAATTCAATTACCGTATTTAATGCTGATTTTACTAAAACTGCCAAGTCGGATACATTATTTTTCCTCAGTTGTTTTTGTTCAATATTTCGTACAA